GGAAAACATTGCTAGATGAGGCTCAAGGTGAGATTCGGGTGGGCAGAAAGGGAGTCGGGAGGAAATCAGATAAAGGGCGTAGATCTCACGGGTTTTTCACAGTTCGGTGACCCACTAACATTCTGGTATACAGACACAGCAACACACGGCCACAGTTTATTCTCCTGTGTTAGCCTAACCTCACTTGTTTGCAAAATCCATCCCCATTGCTGTAAATAGGGGTTCAGTATTAAGTAAGATGTATGACCGTGTACTTGCACCACGCGTTTCGACATAGAAAGCTGGAGAATGCCAGCAGTAACCACTAATGTTTATGAGGACTATAATTATAGCAGCCCTTGCAGTTATTTGCATGGGATCGTTTTATGTCTTTACATTACATTGCGGCTGAGACCGGATGACTCGTCGGTTTGGTTTCACAGGTGGAAAAATAGCAGGCGCACCACTCTACCCCCACAATGCAGTGTGCAGAATTCAGACCAGACAACACCTCTGTGGCTTCCCAGTGGAAGCATTTAAGAAATTTAGCCTTACCAAAAACCCTTTTTAGAAGATTATCCTTTTGCTTCCTCTCATAAAATGAAAACTGGAGGGATTGAAATCACCCCACAATAGGACATGAGCTCAGACTTTTATTGTGAAATGGCAGGTTTGCATTTTTTTTTCTCTTGTTTTGATGGGAAAGTGAGGTCTCTTGAGTTATCATTTTAAACCAATCAGAGAGTTTTTTTTTTTCTTTAGAAGGCAGATTTGGTTCATATGAGTCAGAGACTGACATGGTTGCTCAACCTGTTGTGGGGTTCATTAAGTTTCTCTCATGGAGTCCGCCCAGCGTCCCAAAAATCTGTCAATGCTTTGACAGCGCCGGATGAAGTCACACTGAGGGCCAAAATGCTGCATCTGTGTCATGGCTGAAGTTCAGTTTCATAGTGGCTCCTGTGCGTGACCTTCACGTGAAATCTCAGGAAATCCAGCCGATCCTCCACTGTGCAGATGAGAAAGCACTGTATGATGGAAATCAACTGTCACTTCGGAGAGCGCACACCACTCGTATTCAGTCTCCCTGTTTGGTGCAGTAACGCAGGTGCAGTTTCTTTTTGTCTGAGTGCAGAGCGTGGTCTACCCTTGCCATCACTGGCGTTGCGGTGCGTTCAGCCCGAGGGCAGCGGCGGTGGCGGCGGGGGCGACAGCACGTCTCAGCACGACCGTCTGAGCCCCGGAGCGCTGGCGTTGTGCCCGCCGAGTGCCAGGCCCGATCTGCCAGCCTCCCGGGGGGACGGGGGCGAGCCCCACCATGCAGCCGCCACACAGGGTTTTTCCAGGGGCCAGGTTTCAGGAACCCTGTTTATTTTTCTCTCTCTTTTTCTCCAGCAGCAGCAGCAGCAGGGCTCTCCTTTCTCTCCTCCACATTTCTGAGCTCCACATCCCTCCATCCCACAGCTGAGGAGCAGAGAAGTGCTCATACCCCTCCGAAGTGGCAGGGTATATCCCCTCTGCTCAAACTCGAGCATCGCTGCTTTTCACCCACTGTGAACACCACCGTGCCCTGGACGCACAAACATGAAGTCACATTTCTGCGCTCTGCCCATTACAGCTGGTCCAGGATCAGCTCATTTTCTCTGCAAATGTGCATTTTAAGGATCAACGCCTTTGATACAATCAGAATGAAAGTGGTTCTGGAGAGGTTTTGCTGCCCCAACATCACAGACAAACCTAAAGTACAGGTAAGGACTAAAAACCACCTTGAAAATGGCACTGTAAATGTAAATGTAATCCATCATAGTTATTGTTAATGGTATGATGATTATTATTATTATTATTATTAGTAGCATTAGCACTGCTGTTGTCATTGTTGTTGCTGTTCTTGCTCTGGCCAGTATTATGTTATTTGTGTTATTATTATTGTATTAATATACATGACTCTTGACAGCACAAACTGACCCTATGGCCACAGTCTCTAGGGACTGTCTGAGTTTATTGCAGGTTGCCATGGCTAAGACCAGAGCTCAGGTAAACACATCACAGTCAGCTTAACTGCCTCAAACAACCTTCCCACTGTGCTCAAATAAGGAAAAAAAAAAAAGATCTGACGTCATTCTGAGGAGCTAATAAATAGGTTAAAGACCACTCTGGTGGCTTGTTGGGTTTCCTGAAATAATTAGAGTTGGGCAGACACAATATTGATGAAAAACAAGGTGCTGAATGGGTAACTGGAAAGGAGGAAGTGACCTCAGGAGGGGATAAACAAGCACACGCACATCAGACCCATTCCAGATACGCTGCTTTTCTGAAGGATTAGCACTGCTGACGTCCAGCGGCCTCCCCTGATGGCTGACAGCTTTTAGAGCTGTGAACATGGCTGCAGAATAACACGGGCAAAAAGCAGGCAATAGGAAAGGCTGATTACCTGTGACTGTGTGTGTGTGTGTGTGTGTGTGTGTGTGTGTGTGTGTGTGTGTGTGTGTGTGTGTGTACACAGACAGGCTCTGATCCTAGATCAGTATCCACCTCCTTCCACAATATGTTTTGAAGGACAACAGGTTGGAGGGATGATCCCTAGATCAGCAGCTGAGTGTAGAAAACTTGGTCATGTATGTGTATCCGTGTGTGTATGCGCGTGTGTGTGTGTGTGTGTGTATGCGCGCGCGTGTGTGTGTGTGTGTATGCGCGCGTGTGTGTGTGTGTACACAGACAGGCTCTGATCCTAGATCAGTATCCACCTCCTTCCACAATATGTTTTGAAGGACAACAGGTTGGAGGGATGATCCCTAGATCAGCAGCTGAGTGTAGAAAACTTGGTCATGTATGTGTATCCGTGTGTGTATGCGCGTGTGTGTGTGTGTGTGTGTGTGTGTGTGTGTGTGTGTGTGTGTGTGTGTGTGTGTGTGTGTCTAAAACATCACCCCAATGAGTTTCAGGGGTAACTGAGTCAAGTGTCTACTGGGCGTCTTGCAGTGCGGTATAAGCTGGCTGGCACCAGAGACAGTCTCGCCTCCCTCCCTGCTCGCAGCCATGCCTCATAGGCCTCGGGAGGCTTGAAGCAGTGCAGGCCCAGCCACAGGCCCAGCCGCTCACATACCCCCCAGCACCAGGCCCCGCTGTGTGGCCCCCACACACACACACTGGAACAGCGCAGGTGACATCACCGTCACCGGCGTGTCTGCGCCAGCACAGCCACGGTGACACGGCTGCTGTTGAGGGGCAAGGCTCGCACGCTGGACAAAGACACCCTTCACACGCAAGCTTCCCGTCGCCCGAGAGACCGGCCCAGGAGACCCGCGTCTGGAGCAGAAATCGTTAGGTGGCACCAAGGCGCCACCTACTAAGAAAACACACGCTGTGTGAGTGTTTAGGCGTTCGATTTTTACTGGAGTGTTTTTTCCCCTTACGTTTTTGTTTGCATTGTGGTTCTTTTAAACCATGTGTTGTAATGTGTTTATCCCAGTTTAGTAAACTCTGAACCCATCATCAGAAACATGCAGCTACCATACCTGAAGAATACATTCTGTGAAGTTCTGAATACCCAGCTCTCTCCTCTTTGTCCCTGTCTCTCTTTCTCTCATTCTCTCCATTCTTTTTTCTCTGTGCCCTGTGCACCCCTTCCCTCTCTCTTTCTCTCTGTCTCTCTCTCTTTCTCTCTTTCTCTCTCCTCCCTGTTTGGGAAATTGACTGCTATTCTTCGAGCAGCTGAGGACCCACAGCATGTTTTTAATTTCAATCATCGCACTTTGCTCAGTTGCTGTCTCTGCCCCCCACCCCCCCCCCCCAAAGTCACCCGTCAGTTTGTGCTGTAATAAATCCCTCCAACTTATGTTCTGTCCCCCCCCACCCCTGCCACTTTAACTAACCAGACCACATCCAGGCCTGGCTTCCAGCACCAATTAAGCACCCGATTCCAGCCGACAATATTAATTGGGGCCTAATTTGGGCAGAGCAAACAAAAGATCACGTTTTATTTTCTCTGAGAGGGTGTTGTTAAACTGCTCAGGACGGCAGGGGAAAAGTCCGGGTGGCGGCTGAATTGACCTCTCGAGTAATCACCGAATGCAGCGCTTTCCGGCGACACGGCCGCGCGGACCGACGCTTTCGGAGGCACGCGGAACATTCCCCCGCCGTCCACCGGCCCGTTTGTGTGCTTTGGACGCGATCGCCGCTACGCCAGTCGGGCCACCCGAGTCGGAATTAATAACACAAAGCCGCAAGCCCCGTGACGAGATTGACAAGGCTGATTCTCCTAACGCCGACGGAGGGCCGGGCGCGGCGGTCATGGGTTCAGATTTATTTACACAAGACCCCTTTCCGGGTATTAGATGTGGAAGCAGACTTGTTTCATTCCAGTGGAACAAAGATGTCTGGCAAAGACAAAAAAATGTATACATATATATTGCATACGTACTTCAGAAAACATTCAAGATTTCATTTAAGATGTCTCTTTTCCCCTCCACCATCACTCTGTAGTGTGATATTTTTTTGTTCTCTTTCTTTAGGAGAGAGCTTAAAGTTTACAGTGATAAACTGCTAGGAAAAGCAGCGTTTTCTGCAGTGGTGCTCCTCCTTCTCAGCAGAGAGTTAACATTATATATTTACACACCTGGGTAAGACAACGGGATGCTCAAAAGTCTTTCATTCCATCTAGGACTCAAACCTGTTACCTTCTGGTTACAACCCTGCTTCTTTAGCCTTTTCACTGCTACACTATCCTGCCACAGTAGTCATGCCCTCTGACCCTGACCAAGTTGTTGTTAATCTCATGCTTAGAAAATGTGCAGCTGACACATATCTAAATGAAATTATTGGCATTTAGCAGACACTCTTATCCAGAGCAACAATTTTTTACATGTTACTCATTTGCACAGCTGGATATTTACTGAGGCAATTCTGAGTTCAGTACCTTGCCCAAGGGTACAACAGCAGTGCCCCAGCAAAATTTCAGTTATGAGTCCTCCTCACCTCTCTGCTACACTGCCACCCAAAATTCTTCAGTACAGCTTGACCTCATG